GTGGTCGAGGTCGACGGCATGGCCGAAGCGCGCGAGCTCTGCGGGAACCAGCTGGGCAGCCGCAGCGGCGCGCCCTGGCGGGGCGAAGACCGTGACGTCGTCCAAGTAGGAGAACACCCGGCCGGCACTCCGGCGAGAACTGCTGAAGCCTGCCGTCGATTTCGCCCGAGGCCCCCGCCACTGCGATTGCGAAGGAGGCCGGCGAGAGCGGGCGCCCCTGGTCGACCCCGCTAGTCGCCCGAACGGGCTCCGCCTCACTGCTGTTGTCCAAGAACAAGCGCGCGGTCCCCCCCCCGAGCCAGCAGCGCGCAAACCTGTGCAGAGCAGGCGCTCGGGCCCGCAGGCCGGTGAGGATGTGCTGTCTGGGTGGGCTGTTGCAAGCGCTGCTGCAATCATACGCGAGGACCACGCTCCGGGGGTTGGGCTCCGTCAGCGCCGAGGTACTCACGCGCATTACTTCGCAGCCCCCTGCTTTCCCAACCGCGAGCTGGTGCGGCCCGCGCCCCCGTTTTTGATGTCTTCTTGGAAGACGTCGCAGGCGGCTTTAGCGGCTAGACGACGCAGCGCACTTCCACAGGCAATTGGCCGGACCCCCCCGTTCCGCTTGCGGAGAGCCACGAGGCGCGCGCTGAGGTTGGCTTGCGCGGCTGCTGGGGATAGAAGGCCGCAGAGGAAGAGGGCCGCCACTTTGTCGACCGAGTCCATCGCCGTCGAATCCTTCAGAAGGGCGCGCCAATGCTCGAACCGCCCCCCACTCGGCCCAGGCCGGACAGACGTGGACTCCTAGCAAGGTGGCGCTTCGCAGCCGCAGCCAAGTCGCTGCAAGCGCCCGCGCCCGGCAGCGCGGCGTCTGCGGCGCCCGGCGGGGCGGCGCTCTGCAGAGAGAAGAGTGCCTGCCGTAGGTCGGTCAGCACTCCTTCCCCCGTGGCCGCTGTGGCTGGGCGGAACCCGCGGGCCATGTCCTTGCTGGCCAGACCTTGGCCGACGAGGAACTCCACCGCTTTGGCGTCCTTTGCGGGCGGGTCGGCCCGCCGGGCCCTCGGCGGCCTGGCCCCCGCCTCGATGCGCGCTTCCCTCCAGAGCGCCCCCCGGTCTCCAGCCTCCGCCGGACGCCGTCTTCTCATGGAGATCTCTGCGCGGCCTCCTTTGTTTTTCCATGCCTTTCTGCCCCCCCCCCCAGGGATTGCCGGGCTTAAAGAAGAGGAGCCGGCGAAGGTGGAGAGCTTCTCTGTGCGCCGTAGAGTAGCCGCGTCTCCGTTTTCAGCTGACTGCAGGAGTCGTTGCGCGACGTCTCCTCGAAGCTGCGCTATAGAGCCGCGCCCGCCCCGTCGGGGACGCGTGGTTCTGTGGCCACCTGGTGCCGGAGCTCGTCGTAGTCCACAGCGTCTACCACGCTGGGCTGCTCTCCGTCTTCCGCGGGTTCCTCTTGGAGGTTGGCCGGGCCCCCGTCGTCCGCGCCCAGGGGGGGGGCGCCGGCGGCAGCTTCTTGATGGCGTTGCTCGGGGTCCACTCTGGCGCGCCTGGCCCGGCGACGCGCTGCGCCCTCGCAATCCGCCCAGGCTGGTCGCAGCGTTCTCGGCGGGCGCCCGCCTGCTCAGCGGCGAGGGCGGCGGCGCCCCCGAGCTGGCCAGAGGGCCCCAGACCGCCTTCGATGTACCAGGGGTGGTAGTTGAACGCACGCAGCCCCCCCCTCTCGATGCGTTTCCCGCGCCCGACCGCCCGGCGCAGGCGCGCCCTCCGCGACCGCGCTGCGTCCGCGGCCCACGCGGCGACCAAGGCGTCTCGTCCAGGCGGTGGCCTGGCTTGCGGGCGCGGGTCTGGCGGCGGAGACGGGGCTCCGGACGCGGGCAGGTCGCCAGGGAAGGCTGGCCTTTTACAGGCGGCCGCGAGGAGCAGGCCCGAGACGTCGGCGTCGAGAGCCCCGCTGCCAGCCGCGACCGCGCTGGCGCAGGAGAGCCGGCACGCCCGCGGACGGACGTGGGCGTCGCAGGCCATGGCCCCCGAGGCGGCGAATCCGACGCAGGCTCCCCAACCGCCTCCGAGCACAGCCCGCGTGCTGAGTTGAAGCGCGGTGATCCGTCCTCCCAGGGCGCCCTGCAGGAGGCCGCTGGCGCAGGCGGGAATACACGCGTCGGAGCGCACGACGAAGAAGAGGC